AAGGAAAGGAAAGGAAAGGAAAGGAAAGGAAAGGAAAGGAAAGGAAAGGAAAGATGACAGCTTTTCATTTGGATTTGTTTGTGGAGCACAGTAAAATACATGGGAAAATGTGAATTTCAATGAAATATGAATCTAGGGTTTATTGTTAGGTTTACATGGCGTCATGGCCAAAAAGTAAGGTTTGTTAAGGAAGGTATAGTTGACACCTTTACGTTCTGAATTGTTTGTGGATCATTGGAAAATACATTGGAAAATCCTAGTAGTATTGAAAAATAATCTATGGTCAGGGAGTTAGTGTTAGGTTTACTTAGAGTCATGGTTGTAAATTACTGTTCAGAATATATTCTTAGAGATTTCCTAAGGAAAGTGATATTGACATCTTTTGCTCTACTGCTCTTCCTGGACCCTTGCAAAATACATGGGAAAATCACATTTCCAATTAAAATGAAAGAAAGTCAGATTTAGGTCTACTTAGAGCCTGGTGCAAAATTTTTTGCTAGAGTAGATTTCTACAACTTTTGAAATGGAACAAAGTTGACAAGTTTTCATTTGTACTTGTTCTTTATGGACCACAGTTAAATATGTCAGAAAATCCATTTGCAAATGAAAATTAATCTGTGGTTAGGGTTAAGTCTACTTGGAATGATGGCCAAAAACTTATGCTAGGGATAAATTCTTAGCTGTTTCCTAAGGAAATTAATGTTGACATCTTTTAAGATTGACATGAGCTTTATTGTCATTTTTTTTTATTCTGAGCACATTGGCACACATTAAAAATGAAATTCTGTTTCTTGCTCTGAAAAGAAAATGTATTACCCAGACCCCATACCATGTTTTCTCCAAAACAAGACCTGAAAATATGCTGTAGCGTGATTTTTACATGTGTGGTTAATATAAGCCCTACCCACAAAATAAGTACCACTTAAGAGCCTGCACACCCATCCAGGCTAAGTGGTTGCTCGCAGTGCCGCCAAGGCACGTGGGGGGGAGGGGGTGGAGCTGCCCCGCACCAGCTTATTTCAGGGCCCTTGCAGCTAGGCCATCCACGCCCTGACAACTGCCTCACGGTGGCAGCACTGGTAGCCATGTCCAGCGGGAGCCCACATCCAGCACACTTCTGCTTTGCTCATGACCACAACGGAGCAGGAAGTTGAGCTAGGCACCAGTGCTGTGGCCACGATGCTAGACAGATGTCAGGGTATGGATGGCCTGGCGGGTGGGGCCCTGACTAAGTTCTCTTTAAATTTTTAAAATTTAAAGTAAAAATAAACTTTTTTATTTACAGATCCAGGACATGAAGAAGAGAAAATGGATAGTATGGAAACCAGCATTTTAGGTGAGGCTTATTTTGTAACTTCATTTTGGAATTGTTACAATTTCCTTATATTTGGTGGGTATTCCTCTTGACGGAAATGTAATTCATAAAATGGAATGCATTCTGCAATTTATTCATGAATTAATGTATGCTGCTGTATCATTAAAATAACTACAATAGTGATGGCTAACCTTTTTCTCATTGTGTGCCGAAAGTGTGTGCATGCCTACACCCATAATGCAATGTGTGTGTGACCCCCTCCCACTCACCCCACACCCTGCGTATGTGCATGCGACCCCCCCAGTAGGCCCAAAATGAAGTGGGGGGCGCTGCACCCCCTGTCCCCGAGCATTGTGCACGCAACCCCCAGCACTCCCCCATCGCTGCAGATACATGTCTCCCACATGCACCCCGCCCCTTGTGCATGCACAGCAGAGACCTGAAAATCAGCTGGCCAGTGGGACCCCCCTAATAGGCCCAAAATGAAGTGTAGGAGGGCGCGCTGCACTCCCCCATGCTTCCCCTGCCCCCGAGCATTGCGCACGTAACCCCCAGCACTCCCCCATCCCTGCACATATACACATGTCTCCCGCATGCACCCTGCCCCTTGTGCATGAGCGACAGAGACCCAAAAATCAGCTGGCCAGTGGGAGGTGCACATGCATGCGTGGTGAAGCTGAGTTGGGGCGACGGCTCGTGTGCCCGCAGAGAGCCATAGGATCGCCATCATGGAACTATAATGTCGACCCTGAAATACCTCATGCTCCCCAAAATTGCTTCCCACCCACCCAACTTGCTGCACCGGGTCACTTACCGTGCAAAGATCCAGCAAGCAGTCTTCTCTCCAGCCTCTCAGCTTTTGTTTAGGCTTGTGCAGGCCTTGCCTGGCACGTTGCAAACCGAAATGGAGCATCAGAGGGGCGGATCCACCTCTCCAGCGCTCCATTTTGGCCTGCAACGTGCCGGGCGAGGCCTCCAGAGTCCCAATGGAGCATCGGAAGGGCAGCCCC